CTCGCTGTCTCACTCCGCCGCGCTCTCTCTCTCGCTCGCACTCATTAGTGCCGCGGCATTTAGGCGCGTGCCACGCCACGCTCCGCTCCGCCGTGACGACGTGGCCGCCGCTCGCGTGAGCAAGGGGAGCGCGGCGTTTCGTGGCGCGGCGGGGACGAGGGAGAAAAAAAAACATTGCTCCAATTTTAATTCTGACTTATGATGCTGACGGGTACAATCAGCTGTGCGTCACACACTTGTCGCTACCATTATTATTTTCCACCCGAGCTGATTACATTTCTCCAACTGGCCGCCATTGCCACATTTTATTTTTCACTCTGCGCGTTTCACCCCCTCTCCCACAAAAAACAGAAACAAGAAAAAAAAAGGAGGGAAAAAAACCTTAGAGAGATTTGACTCTAGCGATACGGTAGCAGGGTGGCTGTCCGGGCCAAACCTGACTGCCACACCAGGAATGGAAGGGGGTGGGGTGCTGCTGGGCGCGCCGGCTAAAAAAGGGAGTAAAATAATTGGAATTGTTGGCGTTATCAGGGCGAGCGACGTGAGCGTGTGGCGTGCACGGAGGCGTGCAAGGGCCTGGCGGCGGGCGGGTGGCGCGGGGCGGGTCAGTCGATGGGGTTGGTGGTGGTGGTGGGGGGAGCGGGGTTCTTAACGGGATTCGGACGTGGTGTAATAACCTTGCATGTAGGAAAATGAACCCCACGCCCCCCCCCCCTTCCGCACGGCCACACTACGCTACGCCACGCCGGCTGGGTTTTTGCCCGCTTGAGGTTTGAAATATATGTGGCACCATTTCCGTCTTCCGACCCCTGGTGCTGGCTTGGCTCTCGCTCCTCGGCTGGAACAAGGCCGCGCTGCTGGTGCTGCTGGTGCTGCTGGTGCTGCTGCAGCTTGCGGCGGGCCATCATCTCCCCCGCGCCGTGCTGCTCCGCGCCGTGCTGCTCCGCGCCGCTCCCAGGGCCGCGCTAGCCGCGCACTCCACAACAGCTGTTTGCACTCTCACACGGCGCCGCGCACTCCCCCGGCACGACGCCTCTCTCTTATCGTCCGTGTGTGGTAATATCGTCCCGCGGGGGTGGGGATCCCCGAGAGAGAGAGAGAGAGAGAGAGAGAGAGAGAGA